AAGTGAGGTTCTTACCCACGAAAGCTTATGCTCCCAATACTTCTGTTAGTCTTAAAGGTGCCACAGGACCCTCTGTTGCTTTTTACAGACTCAGACTAACACGGCTACCCCTCTGATAATTGAAACTGGAGTGCAGACTGGTTAAACAGACTCACTGGGTACTTGTATGTTTCCAAAGGTAATTTTGGAAACCATTTGTTTTGTAGAGTTATCAGAAGTGCTGTGGGCAATGATAATGAGAGTGGGCCTTCGTGTGGATGCAGCATATGGAATCTTGCTGTTAGTTCCAGTTTTAGCCTTCTTTGCTGTGTTAACAGTATTCATTCTTTTGGTCATGGAAGGTCTTTCTGCTTTTCTACACGCTGTACGACTTCATTGGTAAGTGCTAACTTTTAATTTTTAAAAACTGCCCTTCCCCACCCTCCCAACTGTGCATTGGTTTATTAAAGGGACATTGTTGGGTAGGATAGGCCCAAAATTTAGAATGCATATTTTGAAAACAAATGACTCTGGCAGAAAAGTTAAGTAACTAGCCTAAAGGCATCAGTGTTAGAGCCAGAATTAGATCTCATGAATTCCTGGCTCCTAGTCTTGTTCTCTGAGTTGTGTATTAATGTGTGGATTTTTTTTTTCCCCTCATTACAGGGTGGAATTTCAGAACAAGTTCTACACCGGTGGAGGTTACAAGTTTACTCCTTTTTCCTTTAAGCACATTTTTTTACATTTTAATAAAGATGATATTGCATAATTTTATTGGCATAAGCAGAGGTATTCAGAGTTGCCTGCAAATCATGTAATTAGATCTCACTGATGTACAGTTTGTAGAAAAATGTATTTTTCACTGATTGCCTTATAATGTAGCCAAATAATTCTGTAATATATACCTCCTTCATACAAATACATTGCAGATCTGGAGCCTCTTGTAAAATATATAGGCATAAAACGTATGTTTTTTTCATAATAAACTAATGTAAATTAATTTTAAGATAATTCTAAAAATAATCTTATTGCTTGTTCTAAAAATAAGAAAGGTATTTTATTTCCAGAAGAGACTGTTTATATTCTTTAATGAATACTTTAAATGATCTTAAAGACCTTAATTTCCGTTTCGTCATATAAAATACACAGCAAGATTACTGTATATTACTCATGTGATCACACCCCCTCATTAACTTAAATTACCATCTAATGGAATCTGGAAGCAGTTAAGATTAAACAGTGTATGTTTTCAGTAGTTATTCCCAGGAGATTACCAAAAATAGTATAAACCGGTAAATATTAATATAAAATGCTCTTGTGGGGCTATTTTTAAAAGTACACCAACTTTTTTTTTTTATTTATTCATTTTTTATAAAAACAATCTTGTGTCTTGAATTCTGCCCAGAATTATTACTTTAATCTTTGCAAGTGCACATCCTGAAGCTTCATTCGATAAAAGAAAAATTAAGGGCAGGTAGGGGAAACCCAACTATGGTTCTTTTTATCTCCCTTCATTGAGGAGTTTATAGTCTTATGCCCCAATTTTGCTAAATGATCTGTGTGGGTGGACTCCTATACTTGTGTGGAACTCTACTGGGTGCAGGGATTGCCCATCCAGACCATTTTGCAGGATCAGGGCCTTAATGATGTCTTTAACAGGTGACTCAAATTGTATAGCAGAATATGGTGTATTAAATGCTCATTCTACAGACCTTTCACATGCAAAGTTCCCATTAATGGGAACTATATTTTTATGACGAGTGCAGAATCAGGCCTTGAATTTATTCTGTATATATTTGGCTTTAAAGACATTTATGGATATAACTTGACTGGAGTGACTGGTTTATCTGATGTTATTGAACCAAAGTTGTTTATACTGAGTTAAGAAATGTTACTTAAAAGGGTGTATGTGAAGGGAGGAGACCGTGCTTTTGCATTTTTTATATCAAAATGAAAATTGGGATATTTTACCATAATAGTTTGACATTTGTGCCATAAGAACAACATAAGTTAACGTTTACATTTTTCTTTCATACTGATTCCAAATAAAATCTAATTGCCATTTGCAGAATTAATATTCTGCAGTGTTTGGTTGTATTTAATTGTTTAAAATGAACTCCTGCAGCTCTTAAACTATACCACTAAAATTTTGTCCTATGTAATATTTCAATTTCTTATTTACAATATTTTAAGAGGTTCCCACTATTGTAAAAAGTTACATTTGTTACTGAATCTTAGGTCTTTTCATTTCTTACTTCTTGTGCAACCCCAAGCAGGCGACTTGGCCTCTTCTAAGAATAAAGCTTCACTTAATGAGAGCCTGCATATGCATTATGTTCTATCTCTAAATTTTATTTTAATTGAGAATATTTTCGACCTAAAGATCTACTTTTTTTGTGTTTAAATTCAGAATTGTTGGAGTGGAGACATAAGATCACATAGGTAAATCCCACACAGGATTTTTGCTTTAACTTGAATTGTAGGGTCTGGACTTTCATTGAGCAGCCTATCTGAAAACATTCTCGCTGTGATTCAACAAGGCACTTAAAGTCTTGAAGTTACATATATGTTTGAGTAGTTTGCTTGACTTCAATGGGACTATTCAGTGCTTGAAGTTAAACACATATTTAAAGTCCTTGCTGCATCAGGGTGTCTGTCAGGACCCAGTCCTGCAAACTGCAGTTACTTTTACAGGAGAGGCTGAGCTCTTTGCAGGATTAAGGCCTGAAAATACACTCTGGAGTTAGTAATTGATTGTTAGTTTACATTTTCATTCTTTTAATAGATTCCCTAAACCTGCAGTGTCATAACCTGAAATTTAGAAAACTAACAACACCCCCTCCCCAAACTTTAGTGCTATGAAACAAAAATTACTTGACGGTTAAAGACCGGTACATTGAAAGCATTTTTATGTGGAATTTTGTTGACATTTTGTACTAATTCAGGTTGTTTTGAGAACCAAGTAAAACAGTGAAGGAAAAATCCTTATTGAGGAATTAGTGTTCATTACTAATAAAGTGAAAAGACTCCAAAAAGCAAAGGGAGGATTCTGGGGAAAAAATTGGGATGTGCTGTGGTAGGTAATGGGGCTACTGTCAGTCTACTTTAACTGATAACGCTGCCTGCTGTTGGGTTTGTGAGAGAAAAACTTGGATTCCAGATAAACTGTCCTGTTTCCTTTGCTGCTGCTTTCCTTCCTCTATCTCCCTTGCCTCTCTTCTGATCTTGTGTCTTCTACAGGCACAGTTGCTTGCTTTGGAAGGCACCAAGCAAGTACAGCATGGGAATATGCTGGTTCTAATGCTGCTATTCTCTGTTGAGCAACGGCCTTTAGTGAGCAGAAGTAAAAATAATCACGTCTGATCTATCCCTGTTCTTAGACGCGCACACACATCCAGCACAGAAACACATCCAGAAGTGGGAGTGGCTCACTCCCTAAAAGCAACAACTGACAAATGTTGCAGAGGCTGGTGGGAACAAGGCCGGTTCTGTACAGGGTTATCCTTCCCCTGCATGCTGCTAGCCCGCTCCAGGTCAGCCAGGGAACACCAGCATGGTGCAGGCTCCATGGGACAAGCTTTAGTATTGCTGCCTACTTTCTCCCCACCCCCCCAGATACTGCTGCTGCTTCTCCTGCCCTTTCAGCCTTGTTTCTTCTTAAAAAGAAAAAGTTCCTTGCTCCTGGTGG